TGCCTGCTGGTGGTGGTCAGAGGGCCCGGCTTAAGCCCAGAGGTGACCGTGCGTTTGCCCTGGTTGCACCTAACCTGTGGCACAACCTTCCCATTAGCGCGTCTGACTCCATCCAATTGTTTAAATAACGATTAAAAACTCACTTATTTAATCTTTCTTTCCCGCTTAGTTAACGCCTGTATTTTATACTTAATTCCAATTTTCAATCCATCCATTCGCTTCCGCTTATCCTTTTCACGGTACAGTGGTTAGCACTGTTGCCGCACAGCAAGAAAGTCCTGAGTTCAATTCCACCATCAGGCCGGGGTCTTTCTGGGTGGAGTTTTCATGTTCCCCCCGTGTTTGCGTGGGTTCCCTCCGGGTACTCCGGCTTCCTCCCACAGTCCAAAGACATAGTTTGTGGGGATAGGCTAAATGATTAATCCAAATTGCCCATAGGTGTGAATGTGAGCGCGAATGGTTGTCTGTGTGTTAGCCCTGCGACACACTGGCGACCTGTCCAGGGTGTACCCCGCCTCTCGCCCTATAACAGCTGGGATAGGCTCCAGCGCCCCCCGCCATCCTGAAAAGCGGAAGCGAATGGATGGATAATTCCAATTTTATCTTTCTATATATATTCTACTTAAAACCTGTGTTTTTAGCAAGTTTGATTTGATATTCACTTTTATTCTTGTGTAATTAGTGCCATAATGGTCTATTCGTGTTTTAACCTGCTGTTTTATTGTGAAGCACTTTGGTATAACGTTGGTTTTTAAATGTGCTATATAAATAAAGTTGTATTGTATTGTACTACTTCATCCTCACCTGCAATAGGCAGGCGATGTGTTCACTCAGTTTAATACAGGCTCTTGAAAAAGGCGAGCATGCAGATTAGGGTGGGTGACAAACCGTGATCACTGTTAAATTACAGTTACTGCAATTCAGTGATTACTGGAATACTCAGAGTTTAAGTTAGAGTTGAGTTCAATGAATATTGATGTAGTATTGCTGATTTACACCTCAGGAGCAACCTTAGAGCCACTTCACCTGCAGGTCACCTGTCTTCCAACAAAACTGCTCCAAACTGTCGGGTTAGGAGCACAGGACCACTCTGGGCTTCCTGGGGATTGGGGCCTCAGATTAGGGTATGGGAAGGTGGAAGTCTGGGTCACTCCTGAGCAGTTGTTTTGCAGTGTGTGTGTGTGTGTGTGTGTGTGTGTGATGAGATGATCAGCGTCAGTGGTTTGAATTTTGTGACTGCAGGATCCGTCAGCTACACTGCCTCCTGTGGTGAACACTCATGCACTCATGCTGCCATAGTCCAGACTTAAAGAATTACAGAGTATAAAAACTGGTTTTGTAATTGATGTCAGTAAAGGACAAATGGTTTTACAGAGTCGTTTAAAGTGTGATCTATTGAAGGTTTCATTAAAAGGGAGCACTGCTCTCATTCAATAAAAATCACCTTCAAAATTCTTTGGAAAGCATAACAATGAATGAAAGTGGAGATCTCCAAAGCATGTAGGTGAACAAACTGCAGCATAAATATGTTGAAATATGTGTTTCTTTAATGGTGTTACTTTAACCATAGATGCCATTGTTCTATACATACACACGGTGTATGTATAGAACAATGGCGGTGACAGAACAGACTTTGTTTATTTCCCACACTGGGGAAATTCACTTGTTACAGCAGCACAATGGCCAGAAATGAAGAAAAGGGGAATTAGAGGATAAGTGTGGATGTTTAAAATACTCAGCTCTGTGACTGCTGTGAAATGACAAAAGTTAAAGAACAATAAAGTAAAATCAGGGTGAAGTTTCAATTCAAATACATTCTTCGTTTTAATTTCTATAATTGCCTTCCTAACTGATTATTGCTTTGTGCTCTTTTCTTCTTCTTCTTCTTCTTCTTCTCTTATTAGTGTACCTTTTTCCTTTACTACTCTGTTGGCCTTTCTTTGGAATAAATATGTTGCATAACCCCTTTTGATAAGCTCTCATCCCCTTTTCTGTCATGACCCTGCCCGCAGTAAAGGTATTGCATTTAGCCACCACGACATACCTCTGCAGGGCATGTGGAGAAAAGACAGGCCTCG